TTTTTTTTTTTTTTTTTTTTTTTTTTAATTTTAAATATTTTAAATTACTGATATTTCGGAAAAGGGCGTTGGGCCCTTGATGATCCAACTCTCTGTGGATGGAACAAATGGGCCGAGTATAATATCTTGTAAGAGGGTTTGTCCAGTGAGTTGCTCGAATGAACACGTTTACTCGTTTTATTAGGGTTTAGGGTTTGTCTAGTGAGTTGCTCAAATGAACACGTTTACTCGTTTTATTAGAGTTCAGGGTTTGTCTAGTGAGCTACTCGAATGAACACGTTTACTCGTTTTATTAGGTTTTAGGGTTTGTCTAGTGAGCTACTCGCATGAACACGTTTACTCATTTTATTAGGTTTTAGGTTGTCTAGTGAGCTGCTCGAATGAACACGTTTACTCGTTTTATTAGGGTTTAGGGTTTGTCTAGTGATCTGCTCGAATGAACACGTTTACTCGTTTTATTAGGATTTAGGATTTATCTAGTAAATTATGCTTGAATGAACATGTATATTCATATTATTAGAGTTTAGGGATTATCTAGTGAGTTGTGCTCGAGGGAACACGTTTATTCGATTTATTAGGGTTTAAATTTTATTTAGTGAGTTGTACTCGAATCAACACTTTTATTCATTTTATGTAACAGCCCAAGTCCACCACTAGTAGATATTGTCCGCTTTGACCCGTTATGTATCATTATTAGCCTCACGGTTTTCAAACTCGTTTGTTAGGGAGAGGTTTCCCCACCCTTATAAGCTACGGTTCATTCTCCGCTCCAACCGAGATGTGGGATCTAACAATCCACTCCCTTGAGAAGAAACCCGAAAAGAAAAATACATACAGGACAATATTTACTACCAGTAGGAAGTTTTATAATAATGGCTGCAATTTAGCCTTTTTTTTATTCTATAAAAATTTGAAAAAGTATAATATAATTTACTATAGTTAATAATTAATTATTATTTTAAATTTTAATTAAAAATAAGTAACGTTAATATGAAGAAAAAAGAACCTATAATACAGGAAAATTCCATTTTAATTATTCCCTTAACTTGAGCAGTTCGAACTGCCTGTAAAATTAGCGTCGTACCTGAACGTAGAAAAATGGGGAATCCGCCGATTTCGCCGGAGAATCAGCCGCCTCTTCACGGGAGCGACGCCGACGCCGACGACGAGAACGTCAAGCAGCTCAATGAATGCTCCTCTTTCTACTTATCGTTACAGGTTCTTCGTGGCCATTGCGATCGTCATCTTCTTCTTTTTTACGTTCTGCTAAAACCCTAAGCCCTGAACTGCTAATTGATGTTTATTGTCTTGATCACCATAATTTTCAGGAATGTCTTATCAAAACTAACAGGAACTGGAAAGATTGCCAGGCTGGTACGCCGCCATCTCTCATTTCTTCTGGTTCTAAGTTCTAGGATTGTTTAGCTTCATCTCTGAATCGTATTGATTTTATTTTATTTTTTCGTTTGAAGTATTTATCCCTTAGATCGAACTGGAATTCATTGTCGCAATCGGCCAACATCTCGCCTGATTCTTACAAATTTGAAATTCCAATGTCTATTTTGAGTAATCCTTTAAATTTTCATCTAAAATGACTGTTCTAATGTATGATCTCACCACTGATTTGTCTGGCAGAGGTTCAAGCTTTGAAGGCTTGCAATGAGAGAAGGAAAACTGGCCATGGCAAGTGAAGGTTCTGGAAAGGAGCATAGTGTACCAGATAACATCTAAGATATTGGCTTTACTCATTCACAATTTTGTTATATTGACTCGTTTAAACGTATTTTGAGATATCTAAAAGCTTGATTGTTCTGAAACCTTATTATTATGTCAAGCTATGCTTATCTTAGCCCTTTTTCTGCTCGTGACCCGAGAATTTGAATCATACAACAAAAGGGTATATATTAGCCGATCGTTACCTCAAAAAAGAGTATATATTAGTTGCCGTCGAGCTATGCTTATATTACCCATATTTCTGCTAGGGACCTAAGATCTTGAGAATCTGAATCATACAACAAAAGAGTATATAATAGCGGCTCGTTACCTCAAAAAAGAGTATATATTAGTTGCTGTTGAGCTATGCTGATCTGAGAATTTGAATCTCAAAAGACTATATATTAGCTGCTCGTTACCTCAAAAAAGAGTATATATTAGTTGCTGTTGAGCTATGCTTACGTTAGTCTTATTTCTGCTCGGGACCTAAAATCTGAGAATTTGAATCTCAAAAGAGTATATATTATTAGCTGCTCGTTACCTCAAAAAAAGAGTATGTATTAGTTGCTGTCGAGCTATGCTTATGTTAGCCCTATTCTGTTCGTGACCTAAGATTTGAGAATTTGAATCATAAAACAAAAGAGTATATATTACCTGCTCGTTGCCTAAAAAAAGAGTATATATTAGTTGTTGTCGAGCTATGCATATGTTAGTCCTATTTCTACTCGTGACTGAGAATTTGCATCATACAACATAAGAGTATATATTAGCTGCTCGGTCCTTCAAAAAAGAGTATATATTAATTGTTGTTGAGCTATGTTTATGTTGGCCCTATTTCTGCTCATGACCTGAGATACGAGAATTTTAACCATACAACAAAAGGGTATATATTAGCTGCTCGTTACTTGAAAAAAGAGTATATATTAGTTGTTGTCGAGGTATGCTTATGTTAGTCCTATTTTTGCTCGTGAGATCGGAGAATTTGAATCATACAAACATTGAAATAAGAAATTTGTTTGAAATCATGTATTTTTCAGGGCCCTCTGACCAACAATTGGTGATGATCAGCCACAAGTTTACTAAACTACTGACATGACACTTATCAGGGATGGATCTACCTTGAGCAACAGGAAAGAAGGGGAAGTTTTCTCTATATACCATACCATGCCAGCCAGAATTGAAGAGACAAGGTAACAAGAGTGGGGTCTGAAACTTGTTTATCATTGAGCTTTGAAGTTAACCCACCTCATTAAATTCCCTTCTTCGTCTTGTCCTTTTAATGGAACTGTAGATTTTCACTTTCGATCTCTTATCAACCTTCTCTGTCTCTATCAACTTAGTTGGTCCAATGCTAAGCTGGAAGATGACTAATTGTTTCTCTTTGCGAAGTATCTTAGAAATTCAAGAATACAAGCACAGCTAATAGATATTGTTTTTTTTTGGCTTTTCCTTTCGGACTTCTCTTCTAGGTGGCTTTTAAATGTCTCTGTTAGGGAAAGGTTTTTCGTTCTCCTCCACCCCCGACGTGGGATCTCATAATCCACCCCCCTCCAGGACTCAGCGTCCTGGTTGGCACTCGTTTCTCTCTCCAATTAACGTGGGATCTCATATATTACCTTTTAGGTTTCGTAGCAAGTCTCTTCTGCTGGTGGATGGATGTTACAGCAGGCTACAGCTTGAAGAAACAAGCTTTCTCCGTCGCGAAAAGCGCCTACAAGTACAAGTTAGTTTGGAATGACTTTTTAAGTGTTTAAAACACTTTTTTTCATTCTACGTTGACTCTAAATTTAACCGTTCAACGATGTAAAACGGAAGAGATTAAGGTCTCTCATTAGCTTTAGAACCACAATTGTCGGGTTCTGATTTGTTGCAACGACATCTTGAGAGTTTGGTTCGGTAGGTAGATTTGAGAAATTGATTCTCAAAGAAGCAATCTCCAATATTATCTAGAGTTAGAACCACTCAAACAAGGGAGGGAGGAACATGGTTTCGAGGCTAATGAATTGATAGAGATGAGAAAGCTAAGCATTGAACCATTAATTTTCATATCAAAATATAGGCTCATATCAAAATGTGTCGCGACTTTTTCTTCTTTTTTCATATCCAAAATAATCCTGCATTCGGTCGTCGAAAACTATATCATTATCATATTCGAGAACAAAAAATGGCCGAAATAATTCTCGTAAATTTCATACATTAGACAAGCCTTTTATATGAACAATAATGATCGTGATATCATCAGTTCGATTTTCATGTTCCATCCATAGTTTATAGGACTCGGCTGCAATGGCAGTGCATGCATCTTGAGGATCTGCATAACTTGATGCCTAAACGAACAAAAAGAAAACATCAGAAATTTTAACACGAGCTTCATATCTACAAGACTTTAACATGGAAATCGAGAGATCATGACGATTTGACTAGAAATCGATCACATTACGTACCATATCAACAACAGTTTGACTCGAAAGGAACTCGAAAACTCCATCACTAGCAACCACAAAGAACAGATGATTAGCCTTAAGCTGAAGAACTAAAACCTCAGGAACAGCAATTACACCAATCTTCTCTGCAGTACTATCTCCTATGCTCCTGGTAAATGCAGTCCCAGGATACAAACCATTTTGAACCCAGAGTCGAGGCGGGTCGCCGCCCTGGCTCTCTTCGTCGCCCCAGCACTGAATATCAGGATCCATAAGCCCTTCCACTTGATCAACACTAAGAACTCTAGCCCCACAAAGCCTAACTCTCTCATACTCATCCTTTCTAAATGGTGTTTGATCGTTTGACAAGTCCTTGGCAAGGACACGGTTCCCTTCCTTTACTGCAATTACAGCTCTTGAATCGCCCACATTGGCCACATAAAGGGTATCCCCAACAACAAGAACTGTAATAGCAGTTGTTCCACTCATTGAATCATCAATTTCACTTGTATGCAGCTCATCATTTGTACACAAAAATGCTGAATTATAAGCTTGTACAGGATTATCCAACAATTTGGGATCATTACAAAGCTTTTCTATTAGCTTATCCTTCACAAAATTTGAACACTGCATTCCAAATTGACCATGCCCATCAAAAACACCAAAGAAATGAGCATTTGGGTTACCTTGAATGCTTGTTCTAATGCAGAAACTGTCTTGATTTTCTTTATCAGGGGATTCAGGGTAGAACCCACGCCGAGACAGCACCAAGTATTCCAAGTGATAGTTGTGCGAAGCAACAGGAATGAACTCCAATGATCTTTCGATCACTGTGTTCTTATCTTCTTGATGAAAGTCTTGGGATTCTCCAACCAATGATTTTGGGTAGCGACAGCAACATTTTGTGTGTATACAACCCATGTTTTTCAAATGGAAGATGCAGAAAACTAGAAAAGCTGAGAGTTCGAACTTGCAGGCAAGGTGTTCGATGAAAGTCCTCAAAGAAAAAGTACCATAAATTTACAAAATACCCAACTCTGTAGCAAAACCCGGATATTTCTTACATTATCTAACCAAATCCCATCATTTTCCAGGAGGAAAAGCCAGATTTTCAGAAGAAAAGTTGAGAATACGCAAATGAACAGCAAAATCTATGTACAAAAACAGAGAGAAAACCTTCAAACGAAAGCTTACTTTTACTTCGAGTAAATTTCCTCCTGACGCAAAGGCAAGCACCGAATAGGGGATCAAAAATCAAGAAATTAATCTGAACAAACAAGAACAGATAATATTTCAAGCAAGCGATTGATAAGTAACAGCAAGTTATGAACAAAAAACAGAGGAAAAGGGGAGGCGAAATGAAGCGGGGAAAATTCTATTACGCTTTTGGAGAAAGATCACAGCTCGAGGCGATAGAAAAAGCGAGAAATCGAGAAAAAATTAACCCTAAGAACAAAATTTGTAGTGGAAAGAGTTGATGGAATGTCGGATTTTGAAGCTAACGAAACAACACTCGAAGCTTTCAGTGAGAGAATGAGAGAGAGAGAGAGAGCACAGGCAAGGTACAAGATTGGACACCGAAGTGACCCAAAAACAGTATGGAAAAATTGTTACCAAAATGATTTTTTTTTTTTTTTCTGGTAATGGAGAATTCTAATTTTTCCTTCTTTTTTTTCGTCCACATGTGATAATATAATTTTTTAAGTTATTTAAAATCAATATTTTAAAAATATTTTAATTGAAATTATGCAACGTCCAAAAAAACCCCATGAGATTATGACGTATTAAATTGTGGAAATATATTTTTTTTATTAAAATTAATGAATTTATAAATATTTTTATACTGATTTTCATTAAAATTAATTTGTGGCCCAATTATTGGCCAAATTCAAATAACACAAAAAATTTAAGGTCAAAAATGAATTTTCTTTTCTTTTCTTTTAAACCTTTAAGACTGAAATTTCCAAATTATTCTTAATTTTGTTTGCTAAAGATATTATTTGTACAAGTTTCGGTCATTGTCCCGTTATGAACAGTTAAAAGTCTATAATTGAGGTTTTTTTTTTTTTTTTTCCTTTAAATTGTGTGGTTGATGTGGATTTTTTTAGGGTTTGAAAATTTCGAGCCTTATTTCTCGTGTTTTATGGCTAGAGATGTCTCATGTGGAGTCGGGGCCATGGGAACCCGCCCCAAATGGGAAAGAGATACCCCGTTTAGACGGAGAATGAAAAAATAGACAAGATTATATTCTCTGTCCCTGTCTCATCTCTTAATATAAATATATTTTTATCACATATTAAAATATTTTTTTTTATTATATTAAAAAAATAAATTAGTTAGTTTTGAGATTCTAATAATATTTAAACTATACGCCGTATATTTTTTATATTTTAAAAATTATATTGCAAAGGATGTGATTATGAAATATATTAATTTATTATTATTTTTTAAAATAAAAATTATATTAAAAGATAAAAAAATTTAAAAATGTAGCGGTGAAAAATTAGATCCCGATCTCAACAAAAATAAATAGAAAATTTTGCGACGATATTTTATTCTTTCTATCATACGACAAGATTTTGTGTTACCCTTTAATGTTTGGATAAATATAACACTATCAAATCAATAAGAAGTGGATAAATTAAATCAAATGTCAATTATGAAGATCCCAACAAAGATTCTCATCAAATTTTGCCTTTTTGTTCAAATCTGAATTTTAATACTTTTTCTCCTTTTTAAATAAATATATTATAATTTTTCATTTTATTATTACCATCATTTTTATACCTTATTTTTTTTCTTGCCGTACCTAAAATATATATTCTCGACTAATTGAAAATTAGAGCGTACAGTAAAAAAAAAATCAATAACCAAATTGCAAGCACCGTTAAATGGTAAAAAAATAATTTACTTCAAAATGGTCGGGTGTATCATTTTCAGTCGACTCTAGCTTAGAACAATTCATAGCATTAAAAATAATCTCCACGTCCATAATCAGAGTCTTTTAGAACAAGTCAAATAAATCTAATGTAATTAATTAATTAGCTCTGGTATTTTAGTCATTTAGTAAATTCCATTAATATTAAATTATTATGTTTTTATTTTTTTTCTCCAATTTTTGTCATTTTTTAAAATACGCCATTATTTAATTAATTAATTAATCTTGTTAGCTATCATTGAAGTTGAGCTGAATACTGGTTTCGGTTAGGTAATTTGGGCCAAGCCCACTCATCTTGAGAAGTTGGTAAGCCCAATATGTTTTGGTTGAGGCCCGTTAGGCCCATTGGAAAATTGATGGGCCCAAACAAATGGCCTCGCCTACACGTAACTGTTTGACAAAAAGCCCGAAAGAATTAAGGCTTTTTTTTTTGGTAATATATATTTTTTAAAAGTTAATTGATAATTTTTATAAAATAGAATTTATATTAAAAAATATAAAACATTCTAATAAATTTAATAATATTTCTTAACAAGAAACAATTAATATTGACGTAATTTAAAAAACTCAAATTTCAATATTATAAGATAGTATTCCCGTACGCCCATATTTAAAGTGAGTAGGATGACACAGTTGTATACTTTTAACCGTACGGCGTCGTGATCTTGACACTCTCACGACAAACCTTAAAGAAAACTCAAGCATCATAATCATTTTTCGTTTAGCTTTGTGCATCGTCGGACTTTTGCCAATAGAACATCGCTTGTGCAAAATCTAAGCTTGTTCGGCCACATACGCGGTTTGTATGTGTATGTCCAATCGTTGCGACATAACTAACAACTGCATTGTGACACTCTCCCAACAACATGACCCACGCATCGTGATGTTGTCTGATGTCTTAAAACACATTGACCATCTAAGAATTGGACTAACCAACAACCGTCACATGCATCTCATTCTTATTGTGAATGGGCCTTGAGCTCCGCTTAGGACTTGTCGTGAGCGTGTCAAGATCACGATGTTACACAGTTGAAGAAATACGATTGTGACACAAGGGGTAGGACGGAAATTTAACCTTGTCTCATTTAATTAATAGGTAAAAGATTTCTCCTATCTCTCTCTCTCTCTAATTTCTATTTAAACGAGAATTGTCCACCTCGTTCGGAGCAGATTCTCGTAGGTTGAATGAATATTTCTAACGTAAATAATTTGAAGCGGGCTTGTGCCCTTAGAATCTAGGAAACCGTCCAAAAGCAAAGGGACAAAATGGAAGGTAAATGAGACCATTTCAATTCCCAAATATCTCCCACTACTGACACACAGGGATTTCATTCCTCTCCCTGCCCCTATCCCCTCTCTCCCTCTCTGTGTCTAGTAGGGTATAAGTGGATTCTCCATACGGGTCGATACGGACAATGGTACGACAGATATCAACGTCTTATTTGTCACTCGGTTCCTTTGCCTTCCGACATCTATTCAAGGTATAAGTAGATTGGTCGAGTTTCTAACCAAAAAAATCTACACAAACCAAATCACCCGACCGTATTTTATTCACCAACACGTTTGGTTGAAGAGATTCAAACATACCCAGATCCTTAGCCAACGACTAGTTAAGCTATGCTCAAATTGAGATAATATACAATCGATAGATCAATTGTAGGGCGGGTAGCCCTAGCGATACGTGGGCGGCCCCCCAAGAGGGAAGAAAAAAAAGGTAAAAAAAAGTGGAGGACGCATTAGAGGGGGAATAAAGGGCAGGCTGAGTATCTGTTGGATAAAAATGTCTGGACACGAAACCATACACTATTTTCATCATAGGCTGCCTTGGGTGGGTGCCTTCCACACCAGCCTTCATCATGCAACACAAACATTTTTAATTATATAATAAAACCAATCAAATCTTATTTTTTTTCCAAAACTTTAAATATTTTAAATTTTAAATTAAAAAATTTGTTCGTCACAACTTAAGGTTACCATACTTTTGTTCCGAAAAAAATAAAAGTATTTGATATTTGAATTTTATGAATTTTTATAGATAAATATAATAATGAACAATTCGACTGCCTAACCTAACCTATCTCGAAAATAAAATATTGGGTTGTGAACCTTAGTCAGGTCATTCGAGTTATTAACCCGTTCGACCTGACTTTTATTAGTTATACCTTTAAAATGATAAATGTATATTGCTCGATTAAAAGGTTAGAAGTTCGAATTTCTTAAATGGGTACCACACAGAATTATAATTTTTTTTTTTTTGGGGCTTTTTTTGTCCACTACTACAGAAAATGGTTCAAAAATCTTAGGCGTGACAAGCCTAAGTGGGGTGCATTATCATGAAATTTATGATTTTTTTTAATATATATATATATTTTATTTTAGAGGCCCCAAGCTTCTTGGTACTTCCACGTCACCATCCCTATGTCTCTAATATGAAGCCCCACTTACCATTTTTGGATTTTTTTTTTAAACGGAAAAAAGAAATAAATTAAAAAGAAAAAAAAAAAGAACAAGTCAACCCCACATTCATCACTCTCATTAACCAATTGAATTCCTCCACATCATCATCTTCTGAACTCTCGCCACGTGGCATATAAATGATAAAATTCCATCTAACTCCCTGACTAGAAAATCGCCGGCTTGATTTCTTTTATCTAGTACAGCCGCCGCATTCCACCGGCTTTTTCCGGCGCGCTGTGAAGGTTTGAAACACGACGCTTCCGATCGCCGGAAACTCGTCCGCCGTACAACTCCGGCATTTCAATCCAAGTGGCTCCATTGCTCCGACCACCCTCGCCCACACTCGATGCGACGCGGAGGTCGTCGACACCGAAACCTTCGCCGGTCGGAACACCTGAACCGCCCTCTTCAACATCCGAACCAAATCCTCGCCGTCGCCGTCGTCGTCGTAAATCGAACCAACACACTCAAAACTAGCGTAACTGTAACCGTCCTCCGGCGTGACATGGATGGTGGAGTACCGATCGCCGTCGATTCCATTCATCGAGTAGCCACAAGGGTCAAACCCAAAATCACAAACAAGAGCATTGGGATTAATTTTATTGATTCCGGCGAGTTCCGTCATTTCTTTTCCGGCAGCGTCGCCGGATTTTCCATCCCCGGGACGGCGGAAGAATTTCCGAGCCAGAGTCCGGTCGAGCTCCGTCATACAAATTTCAACCGTGTAAAAATCAGGAAGCAAACGGTTTTGATCGCAGGCGGAGAACACGTGCCAAGCATGTGAGGGGAGGTTGGAAGGCATAACGGAAGCCTTACGGAAACAGAGGTGGTTAGGGAGGGTATTTTCAAGGTACAGAGCTTCGTCGTGAAAGCTTGTGTGAGGGAAAGGCTGTGACAGAGGAAAGATAAAGTTACCGCGGGTGTAACGGCAGTAGGAGAGTGTAAGGCCGAGATTAAGCGCGTGGTGGAGCAATGGAGGGATGGATTTGAGTAGCTGAGTGGTCCCACAGGTTTTGATGATGATTTTGGTTGGGTAAACGAAAAGGCTTGATTCGGATAACACGTAAGCGTCAAAGTAATGGTTACCAACGGCGGAGACGACGGTGCATTGGACTTCGCGTAGGACTTGTTCCAGAGAATCGAAGCTGATTTGGCGAAGGCCCACATTGAGGAAGACTGGGTCGTCGCCGGAGAAATGGA